GTCTTTTCTTCTTCTCCTTTCTCGTGTCGATCGCCATGGAAATGTCTCTTCTCCGTCCGGCGACGACGCAGCCATTTCTGTCGTCATTCTCCAAATTCCAGCCAACTCATCGATCGCGTAATTACAAGTCTATTAAGTTCCGTTTTACTGTAGCCGGTGGATCGGCCGTCGGATCTTCTAGAATCGAAGGCGGAGGTACTACAATCACGGCGGATTGTGTGATCGTCGGTGGAGGAATTAGCGGTCTGTGCATCGCTCAAGCTCTTTCCACGAAACACCCAGACGCTGCTCCTAATGTGATAGTGACGGAGGCGAAGGATCGTGTCGGAGGCAATATCATCACACGCGAGGAGAAAGGGTTTCTATGGGAAGAAGGTCCTAATAGTTTTCAGCCATCTGATCCTATGCTCACTATGGTGGTACAGTTTCTTGATCGTCTTCTCATTGAATTCGCTTAATCACTTTGTAATGCAATTCGACTTTGGCTTCAGAGAGCGTGAAATGAGGCAACAGATTTGATTTTGAACCGTTGTGTTGAACTAGAAGAGTTTTTGTAGAATGTTTTTTGTTTGTTTTAGTGGATTTAGCATTCTCGTTGTGTGGTTAAAATGCAGGTAGATAGTGGTTTGAAGGATGAGTTAGTCTTGGGAGATCCTAATGCACCGAGGTTTGTGTTGTGGAATGGGAAATTGAGGCCGGTTCCGTCGAAGCTAACCGACTTGCCGTTCTTTGATTTGATGAGCATTGGAGGGAAGATTAGAGCTGGGCTTGGTGCTCTTGGCATTCGACCACCACCTCCAGTTTGTACTCTGACCACAACTTCTGCTGCAAAGTTATGTGTTTTGTCTTCATCTTTATGCGGTCAGAATTTGCTCTCATGTTCTTAGAGTTTGGCAAAGGTGACAGGGTCGTGAGGAATCTGTGGAAGAGTTTGTAAGGCGTAACCTTGGTGATGAGGTTTTTGAGCGCTTGATTGAACCATTTTGTTCAGGTAGAATGGTTAGTTAGGAATTACTCTTGTGATCTTCGTTTGTTCATAACATGTTGTTCACAAATTCTGGATGCTCTGAATTTTTGTACATCCAGGTGTTTATGCGGGTGATCCTTCAAAACTGAGTATGAAAGCAGCTTTTGGGAAGGTTTGGAAACTAGAGGAGAATGGTGGCAGTATCATAGGTGGTACTTTTAAGGCAATCCAAGAGAGAAATAAAGCTCCCAAGACAACCAGAGACCCGTGAGTAACGCTAACCATTCCACAAGTTTTTATATTTTCCTCTTAAGATACTCTTGTAACATCATTCAACCTGATACTGTAGGCGCTTGCCAAAGCCAAAGGGACAAACAGTTGGTTCTTTTAGGAAAGGGCTCACAATGTTACCAGAGGCAATCTCTGCAAGGTATTGTATTATATCGAATGTTGGCAAATGAATCTGTTTTTCTTTTCCTCTCACACCTTTTTCGAGGAGAACTTCAAAAACTTGTCTACACTTCATTGTGTTGTTTTTGATTTTGGCAGGTTGGGTAGCAAAGTTAAGGTGTCTTGGAAGCTCTCGAGTATTACTAAACTGGATAGCGGAGGATACAACTTGACTTATGAGACTCCAGAAGGGATAGTATCCGTACAGAGCAAAAGTGTAGTGATGACTGTGCCATCTCATGTTGCTAGTAGTCTCTTGCGCCCTCTTTCAGTAAGTTTCTTGTTTCGTCAAATCAATCGTTGCCAAAAATAAAACCATGTGGATTTATCCAAAGCTGAAGAATTTCACATAGTTGAGCGAGTTGAGTATGCTGGTTTAAACTTTGATGATGAAAGTTGCTTTTTTTTAAGGATACTGCAGCAGAAGCACTCTCAAAGCTCTACTATCCGCCAGTTGCAGCAGTATCTACCTCCTACCCGAAAGAAGCAAATCCGAAACGAATGCTTAATAGATGGCGAACTAAAAGGGTTTGGCCAGTTGCATCCACGCACACAAGGAGTGGAAACACTTGGTAAATTCTTAACTTCTCGATTACAATGTAAATTCCCAATGCTAAAAGTAACGACGGCATTGTTCACATCTCTTCTACACACTTATGCAGGAACAATATACAGTTCTTCGCTTTTCCCTAACCGAGCACCACCTGGGAGAGTGTTGCTATTGAACTACATCGGTGGAGCTACCAACACCGGGATTTTATCAAAGGTAATAACAATAAACATGTTTGTTGAGACTAAAAAATTCGTAATTTGAAGACAAACATATCTCAAAGCTCACAACTTTTGGTCACTTTGCAGTCAGAAGGTGAGTTAGTGGAAGCAGTGGATCGTGACTTGAGGAAGATGCTAATAAAGCCAAGTTCGACCGATCCGCTTGTGCTTGGAGTAAGAGTATGGCCTCAAGCAATTCCTCAGTTTCTGATAGGTCACATCGATTTGGTAGACGCAGCGAAAGCCTCTCTCTCATCGTCTGGTCATGACGGGATATTCTTGGGTGGAAATTACGTTGCTGGTGTAGCATTGGGTCGGTGTGTGGAAGGTGCTTATGAAACTGCAACCGAAGTTAACAATTTCATGTCGAGGTACGCTTACAAGTAACAATTAGATACCAAGTAGTAGTAGAATTGCAGTTTTGATTTTGAGAAAACAGAGATTTTTAAGTCTCTGATTAAGTACTTATATAAGTATTACTACAATTTGTGGCAAAAAAAAGACATATTAGCATGAAAGAGAGAGAGAGTGATATAATAAGCCTAGAACAAATCGATCATAACTCTTGAATCTTGAGGATCATCGTGAAGAGGTGAGATCTTGATAGTGTCGAGTGTTGTGGGTCTTGGAGATTTCTGTTGCGTGTTATG